TGCTGACTGTTCCTTTACTGTCTATCAACAAACAGCATCTTTGTTATAGAGATTACTTTATAGTTAAGTAATCATTTCACCCAGCTCTCAATTATTGTGCTGTAAAATAAGCCTTGAAACAATTCTTCCGGAGGATTAGAAAAGCATAGTTATAAATAAGTCAGTTTAATAGTGTGAGCCTTAATTACCTATATAATACCACCCAGTCTGATGGAACAGCAGTTTTCCTTTTCAAGTTAAGATTCACTGACAGCTGGCTTCACCAATCATTAGTGCTGAACTGAGTCAATTTAAGCAAATTAGTAGACTGGCCCATAGGCTTGCGCACAGGGTATACCGGGTGTGCCTGGGCACACCCTAATCCCTGCAGCCCGCGCATGGATCGAGGGCGGCAAGGGACATCACATGATCTCCCCTGTCGGTCCATGCAGAGCAAGCGCTATCTGAGCCCCGGCCATGGGCTGGTGGGGAGATCAAAGAACTCCCTCACTGGCCCACAGGCAGGGAGGAAGGCAGGAGAGGACCTGGCGAGCTCTAGCCAGCAGCTCTGCCGGGTTCCTCTTGCGAGGTCGGAGGCAAGAGTCCACCAGGAAACAGGTATGGCAGCAAGGATCCCCCCTCCCAGGCAAAGTAAGAAGGGAGGGGGTCTGTTTCCTAATCTGTCCCCCCCACACACAATCACTCCAAACAAATTCACACACACACAGCATCCTCACACACACAGTACACAAACAGCACCCTCTCACACACACACAGCACCCTTATACACACAGCACCCTCACACGCACACACACACACAGCACCCTCACAGCACTATCACACAAACACAGCAGTGTATGTATGTATATATGTGTGTATATAAATATATATATATATATATATGTATATATATATATATTTACACATACATATACATGCGGCGTGTGTATTTGTGCTTTAGGGTACACACCCTAATGCAATAAGCTGTGCACACCTATACACTGCCATTTAAATATTGACAAAAATGGAACTCATAAGAATGAGTAGAAATGACAAGCAGGATTAATGAAAGCTGAGGTTACTGTTTAGTATTATCTGGGTTAAGTAGCAGTCTTTTAGATTAACAATTTGTTCAACAATCTCTGCTTGTCACATTATGGGCTGAACAATGCTGGTCATTGTAACTACGAAGGAATCTGCTGTTGCTTGATGCTAGCTTCGAATACAGACCACAGACCTTAATTTTATAAGGTTTGTGAATGTTTAACTTACATAATTATTTAAATTTAAAGTCCCCTTAATTTTTCTATCAACTCATCAAAAACTCTAGCCAAGTGTTTTTTATGGTTAGTGGGAATAAATATTCTATTGATCTCATATTCTAGAGGAGACCATGAATGTTACCTTTCACTGTTTTAAGTGGTGTGCTGGGATCAATAAAAAGATGCGCCGTAAATGATGGCATGATCTTGGCATGAGTGTATTACTTAATGGAAGATATCAAACAATCTACCTAAGATTAATCTGCACACCCTTCACATAGTCCTCTACAGCTGCAGCAGAGATGTAATAAATAAGCTTAGTCAAGACTCACTTTGTCTTTTCCATGGCTGACTGGGTGTCAATTAAACCCAGAATACAGAGTGTGATGGATATAGGAGATTCACGCATTGTCAGCTCATGCCGCAGTGCCACAAAGAAGCCTTCCAGGGCAAATTTGGTGGCAGCATAGGGTGCTGCAAATGGAATAGGTGTTTTACCTGGAAAGGGAAAATATGTACTTTATTACATTTCTCCATTGGTTGCCCACCAATAAAAACATGAAAGATAAAAAGATAAAGATTGTTCTTAGAATAACATTTTTATTATGCTAAAATGCCATATTTATGCAGTTATCCTCTAAGCAAAACAGAAAAAAAATTATCTTAATGGGGAGCTGTTAGGCACTCACCTAACCCTCCACTCCCCTGCCACAATCGTTTTACAGAGTTTTGTGTTACATTTCTGTACCCCTGCCTCTGGTCTACCCGAACTCCTCACTGCAGGGCATTCCTCCTCCATGATGCAGTTACACTGTCTTCATTGCCAGCATTTTGGAGTGTGAATGGAGTGACATCAGTCATGGCGCCTGCCAGACGAGCTTGAATGCAGTGTAGTTAAAGTACAGAGAAGGCGTGCTCCAACGAGACTCGTTCGCACGAGCTATATGGGATTCGCACAAGCTATATGGGAACGCTGCCAGTTAATCTTGGCCTTACCTCCTTTTATGGCTCCTTAGGTTCTGTCCCTAAATCCGAACTTTTGTGCATTATCATCATCAGTGGTGTATCCTGGTTTTGTGCTGCCCTAGGCAGGACAAAACTCAGGCGCCCCCCCCACACAACCCTTCCCCCGCGCCCCACCTTCTAAATACACACACACACAGTCAGACACACACAAACACACACACAGTCAGACACAAACACACACACACAGTCACAAACACACACACACACAGTTAGACACAAACACACACAGTCAGACACAAACACACACACACACACACAGTCAGACACAAACACACACACAGTCAGACACAAACACACACACACAGTCAGACACAAACGCACACACACACAGTCAGACACAAACACACACACACACAGTCAGACACAAACACACACAGTCAGAAACAAACACACACACAATCACTCACATTTTTTTTTTAAACCCCCCCCAGCCTCCTTACCTTTGGGAGTGCTGGGGGGGGGGTCTCTCTCTCCCTGGTGGTCCAGTGGCTGCCGGTCGGGCTGGGCGGCGCTGGCTGATTATCGGGCGGGCGGCTAGCGAGGGAGCACTTCCCCTGAGCTGACTGCTCAGCTCCCTCGCGCGCCGCAGAGTGAGGCTGGGAGCCGGAAGATGACGTCATATTCCAGCTCCCAGCCTCACTCTGTGGCACGCAAGGGAGCTGAGCAGTCAGCTCAGCGGAAATGCTCCCTCGACAGCCGTCTGCCAGCGCCGCCCGCCCGCCCGGCATATCTGTTAGCCGCGAGGCTAACAAGACATTTGCCATGGGCATTTGGGGGTGGCGTTTTTTGCCGCCCCCTGAAAAATGCCGCCCAAGGCAAATGCATTGTTTGCCTCGCGGCTAATATGCCCCTGATCATCATGCACATGACCGCCATTTGCCAAGCAGAGCTGTTCTTAGGATACTTAAACTCAGATTAAATATTTCTTGTTTGATTATCCGAGAGTGCTTTATTTGTATTGATTCTTGTGTGTTTTGACCTTGGCTTGTACTTTGACTATTCTGACTTCTGTGTGACAGTAGTTAACATCACTGGGAGAAGAAGGATACTTTACCAAGGTTCCTAAGTTGTTCCTATGCCCATCGTTGGTGCACCCTGTGCCCATTGTTGGTGCAGAGTGTTTATAATGTGTTTGTATATTGTTAATTGTTTTGTGTGCTCTCCTGTCCTGTTGATGCTTGTTACCAACTAAGTTGGTTTGGCTATGGAGCCTGTATAGCGCCCTCTGTTGGTAGTAAAAGCAATAAGCACTACCTGAATAGCAAAGCTTGTTAATTTGCATATTCAGGTAGATTTACCTATTGCTAATTCTGCATGCAGGAGAAATATTTTGTGTTGGTTATTGAATTCCTCATTCTTTGTAGATATGTTATTGTGTTGTTATAATTCCCTGTATGTTTTGATTAATTGTATTTTTATTGAATTGTTACCATAAGTTGGTAAGGAGCATTTGGGCCAGTTTCAAGAAAAAAAAAAAAAAGTTTTGCATGTTAGTTCCTTTTGGAAATTGTGTTCTGTGTGGATTTAGGGATCCCAGTGACAGTCTTCAGACCTGTTCGCTGGCTGCAGGATCCCTCTATTCCTGGATTGAATCAAAAGAGCTAGGCCTGAGAGCATTTGTAAAGGCAATAGCTACAATCACATTATAGGCAGTGTTCTGGATACCTGCCTGGAAGAAGAGCTGCAGCGGCATTGGCAAAAGGGACGATACCTGCCTGTAAGTTGAGAGCTGCAGAAAAATAGGCAGAGAGGATGATGCCTGTCTGAAAGGAGAGCTGCAGCCCGGTCGGGTGGAAGAGCTCCTGAGAGACCCCAGTCAAGCTTCGGCAAGTGGCTAGGAAGCAGATTGGGCGGAGGTACTCAGTCAGAATTCTGTATCCCTTGATCTTTGGCTTGTCTAACGATTTATGTAACTTCTATTTCCCTGACCTCGGCTTGTTCTGTACTTTTCTATTATTAACATATTAAGGATTTCTGGTTAATATCATTTTAGTTAACTTAAGTTCTGAGTGGTATTAGACTATCCTGACATTTTACTCCCTAGCCAGCACTAGCAATGACGGCTAGGGAGGTACCACAGTACATGTGCTGTGTTTGCTATGGGTGGAGAGCAGAAGGACCCCCCTGTCATTCAATTCTTCGGCATTGAGTCTATTCCAATGAATTGATTGACAAATGAGAGAAAAAGCTATTTTTAAATAGTTTTTTTTCTGACTATCTATACATTTGCTAGATGAAATTCTATGCGCTTTAAAAAAAAATATGAGTAGTTTGGGGGTGACAGGTTCCCTCTAATATCCATTTTTGAGTGGTTTCTTAACACACCTGTTAAGGATGACAACACAATGATGGAGCCCTTTGTCTGGGTCAAATAAGGAAGTGCAGCTGTTGCCAGATCAACATAGCTTATAAAATTCACCTGAAACAAGACACAACAGTTTAAACAATGGAGGGAATAATAACAAAGTTATGACAGATCAGATCAGAAATATTTGGACCTGACACAATTTTTATAATTTTGATTCTGTATGCCACCACAATGGATCTGAAATAAAACAACCAAGATGTAATTAAAGTGCAGACTTTCAGCTTTGAGGGGGTGAACAAAAATATTGTATGAACTTTTAAGGAATTGCAACCATTTTCATACACAGTCCCCTTATTTCAGGGACTCAAATGTAATTGAACAAATTAACACAATGATAAATAAAATTTTAATTTATAATACTTTGTAGAGAATTTTTTACAGACAATGACTGCTTGAAATCTGGAACTAATCAACATCAGGGTTTCCTCCTTTGTGATGCTTTGCCAGGTCTTTACTGCAGCTGTGTCCAGTTGTTTGTTTGTGGGCATTTCTGCCTTAAGTTTTGTTTTCAGCTAGTGAAATGCATGCTTGATCAGGGGATTGACTTGGCCATTGCAATATTCCACTTCTTTGCCTTGAAAACGTACGTGTTGTTTTTGCAGTATGTTTTGTGTCATTGTCCATCTGTAAAGTGAAGTGTGGTTGAATCAACTTCGCTGAATTTGGCTGAATCTGGGCATACAATATATCCCGGTACAGTTCAGAATTTATTCAGCTACTTCTGTCTTCTTTTGTTACCGGGAAACTGACGGAGGCCAAGCACAGAGAGATGGACACAGGTTTTTTCAGGAAGGAAGAGATCTTTATTCGATTCACCGACCGGGACTCAGAGGGACTTATGTCACCAAAAACAGCAAAGATCTGAGTACTGAATACATAGAGTAGATTCCTTATATAGCACTGTAGCTCCTCCCATAATTAGCTACGCCCACACATACCCTTAACCTAATCAATGAATTGAGTCTAAACTCATCCATCCGGTCTAACCACGTGGCTCATCTGAAACAAAGGAGAGGGACGCGTAATTCCAGTTCCTGCATTCCTGCACATGCTCAGTACAGTGATGACAGTATCTTAGCTACGTGTAACTAACTAACTGATACCACAAACACATGTACCTACATATGCCTTGTGGCAATCTTGGCCTGCTAAACTTGTATTTTACTGGAATTCCATCACATTCCCCCCTTTGATGCTTCTGATTTAAAATAATTCCAGATGCATCACCAATCATAGTTTGCTTACACCTCAAGTTGCCATAAACCAGACTAGACTTTGCGATCCTCTAAAGATACGAACCCCTCAACATTCCTCTTCCTGCATGTATTCTCCTTGATCTAGAGCTTCATACCTGCAAACAGCCATTACCTGTGCTGCGGCCTTTCTTTCTGCTATACTTTCTATAATGCTCTGCATAGACCTAATTACCAAAGGAATCAGACATGGCAGAAGGAGACAACATCAAAATCAGTATGACTCCACCTACCAATGCCTTGATTCCTCCAAACTGCTCATACCAACTACCAAACCAACTACTCGGATTATACCCTTTCCATACCTGAGTAGGTACATGTGCTAGCTTAACCATATGGCTAGTAAGCTCAGCTATTGCTTGCCCTTCATCATCTATTTGAAGACAACAATTGCTTAGATTAAACTTCCCACATACACCTCCCTCTACTGCCAATAGGTAATCCAAAGCTAATCTATTCTGGTAGATGGCTGTCCTCATCCTAGTGTTATGCTTCGCTAGGAGATTGAGCGCTTGTGATGTTTCATTGGTAACTATCTCAACTACTGCTTGCAATCTTATAATACGATTAAGCATATATATTGGGGTTCTGTATCCATAAGTACCATCCTCTGCCCATGTAGCTGGCCCATAATAATCTATAATACGCTGGGGAGGCCACTCATCATCTTCCCAGGTACCTATCTCTAGGGGTGCCCTTTTCTTCCTATGATTTACATCATATACTTTAACTCCCAAAGTCTCTCCTGTTTCAATTGGCAACAAGAAGAAGGATGGTTTGAGCATACCTAGTACACATGCCCCTTCCCAGTCTTGTGGTAACTCCGAATATGCCTTCTTACCACAAATCCAGTACAATTTTGCTGGGGCTTTCCAACTAGATGTAGCAGATAGGTCAAACCATACATCCTTTAAATTGGTATAATTTGCAAACGGATTAGACGGTTCTGAAACATTTGAAGCTGGCCACCAAATAGCATCCTTTGTATCGACATTATAGGCTTTCTGCCCTAAACAAGTCAATTCTCCTACAGATGTATTAAACATTATTCCTTTCCTTGCTATACAAACATAACCTATAATGGAGGTCTTTAATCGCCACTCAGATTTACCTCTAACACTCACTTGATAATCAGATTGAGAAGATATTAGTTGTTCAACTGTCTCAGAACCAGAATACATTACCTCCTTTGCTTCCCAAGGCCATTGGTCTCCCATATTAGTACCTCCACACACATAGCAGTTGGTTACATTAAGACTACCAGCAATGCTCTCAGCTAGGTCTATGAATAAGTTTTTGGCATTATGGGGAACCTTATCTTCCACACTCATCTCCTCATAAAAAAAATGGAAAACCTGATGAGTCTGGGGGGCCACTGTATCTGTCTCTATTCCTATGTATAATATCGTCCCAGGATCCAAACCTGTTCCATATATTTGGAACCCAAATAGATTCCCAAACTTATCTATAAATAGCTCTGGGTCCTTGATAAGTATATGGACTGGGTTACACTCCACAGACTTACAATATGGCTTGGTAGGCAATCTAGTGATAATCATATCCTTATCTACTGTCTGTCCCCAGGTTGCCCATCCCACACAGGACCAATACGGACAATAATTGTAGTCTTTATTTAGGCAGTTTGGATCTATATACTTATGCTTATTACTAGGACAAATATACTTATCATTAGACCCATACGTTCTTTCCCATTTAAGACCACCACATACATTCCATGGCTTCCTACTACCTGATATCGCCTTACATGCATCAAATAGCAAAACACCTGGAGAATGTACGCTTTCTAGTACAGTCTTATTTATCAGGTTCCCCTGTGCGTTCTCATTCCGAATAGTCAACCAAATTGTACGGGGCTGATACTCAGGATTAAAACACCTAGGTTCTCCTGCTCCTATATGGCATACACTATAATCTGTACCTAGGTATCTACACTTTGATACATGTCCTGTGCACTCATATTGCGAATGCCAAATAAGGGTCTGGGAAATACGATTGCCTGTTTTTGTAGTCTTAATGCAAACCTCGCAGCCTGGTGTGTCGGTACCTCTACCTTCCTGAATAATTAAAAACACACATATATACATCATCAAACACATTACTCCTGACATCTTCTTCCTAATTCTTCGACCGTGCGACGGCACCTCAGCTTCCAGGCGTGTGAGGGCTGCAGGGAATGGAGTCCTTCTGATCCTCACTGTTCTTCACAGAGGATTCCTCTGGCTTAAACGTTGGTAGGTGGTCAGGCTTTATTGTGGCCGTCAAAACACCTACTTGTAGATCTTTGTTGATGTTCCCTTGTAACAATACTCTTCGCAAAAAACACTTTTAATCTAACTGGGTCACTCGCTTCAACCGGATCTTGCAGGGATTCTCAGGATCCCCTTGCTGCTGGTTTAACCCTGGAGTGATGAATCCATCTCCATGGCAATACTGTTGGAGTAACAAAACAACAGCATAAGGACCCCTCCACTTTGGCCCCAGGGGTACATGTTCCACTCCTTTATCCAAACTGGTCTCCTGGATGGTAAGAATGGATGACATATTGACACCTTGACATATGGATTGACACCTGTCCTCAGAGCCCCTCCTGCACACGGACACAGACTCTATAGAGACTGGTCCCCCTACATGGTTCTTGGCAGATATACCATTGACATACCACTCCCAGGATCCCTGATACACACTGACATGACAGATCATCAGAGATATATGACTGTGCAAAAGGGTAGCTGGATTCAGGGTATTAACAGTTTCACATAACATGGCTTGGGTCACTTGGCAGATATGGATTGACACCTGTCCTTACCTTTATAGTCTACACACTGACACACTGCGTGCGGGACTCGCACATAGAGTTCCTGACCCAGAGTGAGCTTGTCAGCTTCTGCTACCAACAGGGCGGCGGCAGCTACGGCCCTTAGACAAGGAGGAAGACCACTGGCTACTGCATCCAGTTGTTTGGACATATACGCAACAGGTCGTTGCCATGATCCCAGATACTGTGTCAGTACTCCCACAGCCATCCTTCTTTGCTCGTGTACATATAAGTAGAATGGACGTATATGATCAGGTAGACCTAATGCGGGGGCGCTCATCAATGCCTTCTTAACATCCTCAAATGCCTTCTGCTGTTCGATGGTCCACAGGAAGGAATCATGTTCCGTGCCTTTAATAGCGGCATAGAGGGGTTTCGCCAGTGTCGCATAACTGGGAATCCATATCCTACAGAAGCCTGCTGCCCCCAAGAATTCTCGCACTTGTCTTCTGTTTTTAGGTGTTGGTATTTGGCATACAGCCTCTTTTCTTTCAGGCCCCATTATCCTTTGACCTTGAGAGATATGGAATCCCAGATACTTGACAGTTGGCTGACACAACTGAGCTTTCTTCCTGGACACCCTGTATCCTGCCTTCCAAAGAATGTGCAGTAAATCATAAGTTGCTTGCTGGCATATCTCTTTAGTAACTGCCGCTATCAACGAATCATCCACGTATTGTAGTAGTACACATTCTCCTGGGATGGACTTGAAATCTAATAAGTCCTGACTTAATGCTGATCCAAATAGTGTAGGTGAATTTTTAAACCCTTGGGGCAATCTTGTCCAGGTCATCTGACGTTTCGAGCCCGTTACAGCATCTTCCCATTGGAATGCAAAGATACACTGGCTTTCTGTAGCAATTCGTAGGCAAAAGAAGGCATCTTTAAGGTCCAAGACTGTAAATAAGTAGCCCCACCCGGAATCAAGGCAAGCAGGTTATAAGGATTGGGCACAACTGGATGTATACTTACTACCGCATCATTGACTGCTCTCAAATCCTGCACATGGCGATACTCATCTGACCCAGGCTTCTGAACAGGCAACAATGGAGTATTCCAGGGGGAAGTACAGAATTTTAGGATACCATACCTTATGAACTTATCCAAATAAGACTGTATGTTCTTCTTCGCCTTTTGAGGTATATGGTATTGTCGCAGGCTTACTGGATAAACTCCAAGTTTTAGTTCGATGCGTATAGGTGGGATATTGCGAGCAAGTCCTGGTGGGTTATTTTCTGCCCACACTCTTGGTATATTATACAAGGATTCATCACTCTTAGGGTTTTGACTTGTCATCACTGTATAAAGTCGCCACTCTTCTTCCTTTGGTACTGATAGTGTCATTATACCTGAGGGTCCATTAAACTTCAAGGATGTTGTTCCGTTAGGCAGAAATGTTATCTGTGCTTGTAACTTCGACAACAAATCCCATCCTAGAAGTTGGACTGGACATTCAGGCATGTAAAGGAACTGATGTTTCACTACGTGGCCTCCTAGTGTACAGAGTCGACTTTTGAGAACCGGTTTAGCAGCACTCCTCCCAGTTGCTCCTATTACAGTGATAGTTCTTCCTGAAGGAGGAGCAACTAGGTCGGTTACCAGAGAATGTTCAGCACCAGTGTCGATCATGAAAGAACTCCTTTTTCCCCCTATTGCTACATCGACCATAGGCTCCACTCGACCAAGGGGAATGGAGCCCGGTCGGTATCAATAGTCCTCCATAACAGTGTCAGCCAAACCCACAAAGTCTCTATCCTCTCTTTCTCTAGGTCTCTGCGTGGGTAGATAATATCTGTCCCCTTGAACACTTCCTCTATTATTCCCACTATTTCCTCCAAAACTTCCTCTACCTCGTCCTCTATAACCACCTCACCCTCTTCTCTCTTCTTGTCTACCACCTGCAATATATCCCCTCTGTGGACAGTCACTTTCCAATGCCCTTCCTCTTTACAATATGCACTTTGATTCCTACTTAAAGGTCCCTTATTCAGCCTATTCTCGACTCCTTTATTCACTTCCCTTCCCTGTCTTTCTACACTTGTGATAGCTACCGCTAGCATATCTACCTTTTTCCTCATCTTACGTTCCTTCTCACGCTTTGTCTCAGTTCCCCTATTCATATACACCTTATTTGCAACCTCCATTAGCTGTGATATGGATATCCCTGCAAATCTCTCCAATTTTTGTAACTTTCTCTTAATACTGCTCTGGGCCAGGCTGACAAATGCTGAATTAATAATTTGGAAGTTTTCAGGGGCTTCAGTATTGAAAGGAGTGTACAATCTATTTTACTCAAGCAGTCTCTCATAAAAAGCACTGGGTGATTCATTAGCTTTTTGTAACACTTCAGCCGTCCTGGACATGTTAATTGCCTTTTTCCCTCCTGCCTTCATGCCAGCAGTAATGGCTTGTTGATAGGCCTTTAAATGGATCATGTCAGCGCCATTTACGTTTCAAAGGTCAGTAATAATTGCTGACAATCAGCCCAGGTGAGATTGTGGGTTTGTATAATAGAGGTAACCAAATCTGTCATGACTTGAGGCTTATCAGTGTATGAAGAATTACGTGTCTTCCAATTAAATAAGTTAGTCGTAGTGAAAGGAACATAAACAAATACAGGGTCTGCATGTTGCAACTGACCATTATTGTCAACGTGTGTTGGGCCCAGTGTAAGTTGGAGAGGCATTTGGTAATGTCGGGGTTGGAGGGTACCAGTCATCTGTCGGGTTAATACAGGGCTTCGGCAAGGCTGCTCAGTCTGAGAGTAGTAAGATAGGTGGAAGGGGGTGAGCTAATTTTACTAGTCAGCATTTGGTGGATGAAACATTTTTTTTTTTTTTTTAAAGTGTTAAACCAAAAACCTACCAGTAGGTGTCACCAGAGGGTAATTGTATCAAAATAATCTTTATGGGTCTAATAATAAAACTTAACTTTTAATATATTTATACATAAAACAAAACCTTATAGTAGTTTTAGTGCTATTTCAATGTTTATGGTACAATGTCATTGCTGAGAATTATCTGATCCAATAGACTCAGTTACTGTTATTAAGAATTCTCCTCACAATTTAACTGTAAATAAAATGCAATGCTAAAATACACTCCTACCAAAAAGGAAGTCAATTTAAATTACAAAAAAAACAGTTTGTACAGAAATACAAGAGTTTGAAAGAAAAGAACAGATAGGTATGTGGGTAGGCGTGGACAATAGAGCAGGGGGATTGCAAATACCAGCTATACTAGTTTTGGGCTACTCTGGCTATGGAGGATGAATTAGGGGTTGGTAATCAGATGCAAGAGGGGGGGAGGTGTCCAAAGCAGTTGTAATTAAGGTTTTAGAGGACAAACAAGTTCTGACTACCATGGACTCCATTGTTCCTCTTAGCACAGTTTGTTCCATTTAGCAGTGTTTCAACAATCTGTATACAGAAACTACTCGTATAGCCCCAACATATTATTAATAACACTGTAAACCTGCTATATTAAATCTGGATCAAGGATCCACAGGAACACTGGTTACCAGAAGAGGCCGTCCTCTGCTACACAGAGTATTTTAATCTTTTGGGGGACAGTGTTACACCATAATCACAAACACCATATTCCTTAGAAAGGGTTTTTTGTTTTTTTTTGACACATACAAGACAAAGGACTGTTTGTGAATCAGAAGCACCCATGATTTCAACAGAGCGTCTGATTCAAAGCAGTACAAATATACAAACAGTTTCAACAGTCACACCAGTTACCTTGGCAACAGCACCACGTGGCACAGTTACTAGGCCAAACACACACCAAAAACACGAGGAGAATTCTCATACACACACAGCTGTTACACCACACACTAAATAACTATTACTGTACCTTTTTTGGCGAAATTATACAATTATCCACGCTATAATTCTCAGTATTTAAATTACCCGTCTATAACACACCCTAGTAACATCGTCTTTACAAACAGTAGTTATAGTACAGTTAGCATTGGTTAGAATACAATTTTAAAGTCACAGGTCAGTTAATAGTAGTTATGGTGTTAAACATACAACATAAATGACAGTTATTAGTGATTATTTACAGTATCAGTGATTATAATATATGGTTATTGTGACGAGACCAATCTCGCCACATTGCATTGGAGAAGCCTGGTTACTCGCCTGCTGCCTTTGGACTATGGCCCCCTGTTAAAAGACATCTTTTCTACCTGCAGAAAAGTTTAATTCGTGCTTTTCTGCCTGGGGTTCGGTAGATTTGTTTTAATGTGTTATACCCCAGATAGGAATCCCATGGAGCCCATTTGTATGAAACTGACTGTAAAGACTTTGGCTCCATGCGATTAAACTGTATTCGTGTGGTCTGAGCGCCATTCACTTAATAATGTGCGCTCAGACCTGAGCTATCTGGGGATATGTGAAATGTCTGTGTTTTATGTATAAAATGTGACTTTATGTATTTTAAAGTGTTTTGTGTCTTTTTGCAACCATGTGCTTAATGGAGTCTTGTGTCTGTCCTGGGAGATAATTGAATTACTTATCTCCAGGATAGAAGACTCTGAAACTGGTTTGGGCCAGAAAGCCATGCTTCATTTAGTCACAAAGGACTTTTTACTAACTTTTGAACCCCTTGTCTGATTTGTGCCATTTTTGAATATGTTGTTCCCCTGAATGGATTGATTGAGAATATGTAATTTTATGTGAATGTGATGTATGGTTTTGGAGTTATGAAAGTTGGGTAGAAAGTATGTTTTAACTGTATGTATAATTGAGTTTCCTCTCAGGATAAGGGGAGGGAATATGTGGGATGTAACTGTGATGTGATTGGTTGTTTTATACCTCCCTGTGGGCGGTCCTGTATTTGCAAGACTGTAATAAAAACCAGGCTGGGTGTGCCAGCACCTCAGACCACTGCTTGACCCTCAACACGGAGCCTTGTCTCGTTCTTGGGGGGATTCACTGTATGCTGTTAGAGACTGATTGCCAGGAGTGTAAGCTGTTGTCTGCTTTTCCTGTTCGTCTGCTAGCAGCTATTTGGGAGGTTCCAGTTCGGGAGTTGGAGTGCTATTTTGTATCCAGTTCGGGGGTTTGGTGTTCTGCAGTAGCTGTGCCTGTATCTCTGGAAAGGGGGCCGATCGCCTAAACGGTTTTTACTCCTTGTGTGCAAAACGGTCCGTTACAGTTATGGTACCGTGCGCTATGATACAGTTACACACTATTCACACTCTCACTAGACGGCAGAGCTCACGCTACTGTCGGGATCCCGCGGGCGGCTGCGAAGGGAGGCTGCACTCCGCTCGCAGTACTCACCCTCCAGCCATCCGCGGTCCCCTCCTCCTCGTGGGCTCGGCCACCGGCATCCTTCCAGTCTCGGATGCCGCCCGCCGTTTCCTCCACGTCCCCCAGCGGCAGCATACATGACGCTGCACGCCGGGAGACCGCTCAAGTTATTACACGCCGGGGTCAGTCACCTGACCCGGCGTTAAAGGCACAGTGTCTCAATCACAGTGGGAGGTTTAGATATCTCCCACGTGTGATTGTTAATTCTGATTGGAAATTATCCAATCAGAATTAACCTTTTGATTTAAATACTTACCTTTCCTGTTCCTCCCTGCCCTGTTGTGGTCTTTGCTTTCTAGTATTGCTACTTACCTTGTACTTCTGGTTACGTACTCTCTGGCTTGTTTATCCGACTCTGTGACTTTCTCCTACCCTTTGACCTCGGCTCGTTTTAACGTTATTCTGTCTTCTGGTTCCCCTTACACGGCTTGTCTCCTGACTATTCTGTGTGTGCTTAGCCCGGCCACTCTAAGGTCCGGTACGGCACCTTTTCTGTGTGTGTGTGTGTGTGTGTGTGTACCGGCGTGTTGGGTTCCCCGAATCTTGACATTACAACACGGCCATAATGGAACCTGCTGACATACCACAGCTCCTAGTTAATCAAGAGGCTAGAATGGATGGCTTGGACCACCGTATGGATCAGTTTGCTCAAGCTTTGCAAACCATACTGGCTCGTACTGCACACTTGCAACCTGCCGTTCAGGAGGCTGCTGCTGCTGTGCCCGAACCCATTCCCACTCCAGTACCCGTTCCCGCTCATGTAGTTCACATGACGCCGCCACAGCGCTACAGCGGCGACCCAGCATTGTGTCGTGGTTTCCTCAACCAAATCAACATCCATTTGGTCATGAATCCACGTTCCTATCCCACTGACAGATCTAAAATTGCCTTTTTGACAAACCACTTGTCCGGGAGAGCTTTAGCATGGGCCAACCCCATTTGGGAAAATACGTCTCCTATGTCCTTTGCAGATTTTCTGACAGCTTTCAGACGCACGTTTGATCAACCCGGTAGGGTTGCTTCTGCTGGCAAGGCTCTGCTTAGGGTCCGACAGGGTAACAGATCTGTAGCGGATTACACTATCAAATTCCGCACTCTATCAGCTGAAGTGGTTTGGAATAATGACGCCCTCGTAACAGCCTTTCAGGAGGGTTTGGCCGCTTATATACTGGATGAAATAGCATCCAGGGAATTGCCTGCTCTTCTAGATGATGTTATAGACTATGTGATTCTTATCGATAACCGTATTAGAGAGAGGCGTAGTCAAAGACGGTTGGATACACGGGTGTTACCTGCTCTACCCAGTACTGAACTGCTAGCGTTACCCGCTCCTAGGCAACCATCCCCTGAACCCATGCAGTTGGGTGCTACGGGGTTAACTGAGGCCAAAAGAGCGTACCGTAGAAGGGAGGGGTTATGCCTTTATTGTGGGAAGAAGGGGCACCACTGTAAAGCCTGCCCTAAAGTACAGGTAAACTCCAGCACCTAAGGCCTAGAGAGGGGTCGGCCTCCGGTGTTATGACTTTGTCCCCTCATGTGTCCATCTCCAGACCGTTTATTACGGTTTCTCTTTTGGTCAATAAAACCACTTTAACAACCAAAGCCCTGATCGATTCGGGTGCGGCAGACAACCTTATGGATGAGACCTTTGCCAAAACCGCAGCCCTGAATTTGATCCGAAAGGATACACCCTTGGCCGTTGAGACCATAGATGGTAGACCACTGGAGAAACCTCAGGTAACCCATGAAACCCAGGAAATAGTTATGTCTGTGGGTGTTTTGCACAAGGAGAAGTTAACCTTCCAAATAATTGACTCCCCTACAGCCTCCATCGTTCTGGGTTTTCCCTGGTTAGTTAAACACAACCCTGTTCTTGATTGGGGTTGTTTAGATATACTCTCCTGGGGGGAATCTTGTCAACGAGACTGTATGGCTCATGTACGTCCTGTTTGTTTACTTAACATGCCCACGGCTAAACCACTCTCGGTTTCTGTCCTTTCTGTTTATGCAGACCTTGCCTTGGTTTTTGAAAAGAGGGAGGCAGATAAGCTACCTCCACATCGTGAGTATGATTTGTGCCATAAACCTCTTACCAGTTACTATGCCTCCTAGGGGAAAGGTCTACCCTCTTTCTGAAAAAGAAAACCAGATCATGGAGGAGTACATACAGGAATCCCTAAGTAAAGGTTTTATTAGAAGGTCCTCCTCTCCTGCTGGTGCTGGTTTCTTCTTTGTGGCAAAGAAGGAGGGCGATTTGAGGCCATGTATAGACTACAGGGGTCTGAACAATATAACGGTTAAAAACGCCTACCCTATCCCCCTCATCACTGAGTTGTTTGATCGTGTTAAAGGTTCTTAATTCTTCACCAAATTAGACCTCAGGGGGCTTATAACCTGTCTGTATAAAGGAGAATGATGAGTGGAAGACAGCGTTCAACACACGCAGTGGGCATTACGAATATCTGGTCATGTCTTTTGGACTGTGTAATGCTCCTGCCGTGTTTCAGAACCTCATAAATGATGTCCTTAGGGATCTATTGCATGTCTGTGCTGTGGTGTACCTTGACGACATACTTGGTATTCTCCTGATTTGAAGTCACACCATAACCATGTTAGGATGGTGCTCAAAAGGCTATTACAGAACGGACTCTACTGTAAGTTAGAAAAATGTCTATTCGATCAGACCTCTGTGCAATTCCTAGGATATATCATTACTGAACAGGGTTTCAGTATGGATCCTGCTAAATTGGAAGCTATACTGTCATGGCCACTTCCCCAAGGACTGAAGGCTATCCAGCGTTTTATAGGGTTTGCCAACTATTATAGGAAATTTATAAAAAACTTTTCACCACTTATATCTCCTATAACGAAGCTGACAAAAAAAGGTCTACACCCTAGGGTTTGGACTCTTGAAGCCCTTAAGGCCTTCGAAACCCTCAAGAAGGCATTTGCCTCTGCTCCAGTGCTGCACCACCCTGATCCTTCTCTTCCCTTTGTTATGGAAGTAGACGCTTCAGAGTCGGGTGTGGGAGCAGTACTGTCACAGAGGTTGTCGTATGACAAACCCCTCCATCCCTGTTGTTATTTTTCTAAAAGGTTGTCTGATTCAGAAAAGAATTACGATGTTGGGAACAGGGAACTATTAGCTATTGTGTTAGCTTTTAAGGAATGGAGATACTTATTAGAGGGTTCTAGACATAAAATTATGGTTATAACAGATCATAAGAACCTCTCCTATATAGCTGATGCTAGAAGGTTATCCGCCCGGCAGGCTAGATGGTCTCTATTTCTCTCACGCTTCCAATATGTTATTACCTATAGACCTGGTTGCCGTAATGCCAAAGCTGACGCTATCTCTCGACAACACGAACCAGTAGAATTTGTTAACCCCACTCCTGAACCTATTGTACCTGCGTCTCAGATAATAGCTGCTACCCGTTTGGTTGTTTCTTCACCTTTCCTTGATAGTATTAAGACATACCAAACCCAAGCACCCCCTGAGACGCCGGTTGGTAAACTATACGTTGAAGCAAATGACAGAAAAAAGTTGTTAACTTTATTTCACACCACCAAAACTGCTGGCCATTCGGGGGTTACCAAAACCTACAAGGGCCTCCTTCAACAGTTCTGGTGGCCTTCACTCAAGCGAGACGCAGGGAATTTTGTTCAGGCTTGTCGGGTCTACACGCAGTGTAAGTCCCTTAATGTGAGACCCCAGGGTTTTCTGATGCCTCTATCTATACCCAAGAAACCATGGACCCACTTATCCATGGATTTCATTGTAGACCTTCCTCTTTCTGATGGTCTGACGGTGATACTGACTGTAACGGATAGGTTCTCTAAAATGGCGCACTTTATTCCGCTTAAGAAACTGCCTTCTGCGGTTCAGTTAACTCAGGTGTTTGCCAAAGAAGTGTTCCGCTTGCATGGGGTACCTCAGGATATCGTATCTGACAGGGGTCCTCAATTTGTCTCTCGGTTTTGGAGGGGCTTTTGTGCTGAGATGGGGGTCTCCTTGTCGTTCTCTTCCTCCTATCACCCGCAATCTAATGGTGCGGCCGAACGTGCTAATCAGTCTGTGGAATTGTATTTACGCTGCTTCACTAATGCGCACCAGGATGACTGGTCTCGCCTTCTTCCGTGGGCTGAATATGCCAGGAATACGGTGTCTCATTCGTCTACTGGCTTAAGTCCTTTTGAGGTTGCTTATGGGTTTCGACCTTCTGTCCTTCCCGGTGCGTTCTCTGACAAGGGAATGCCCGCCTTGGACCAGCACCTCGCCTCTTTGCGGAAGACGTGGGATCAGGTCCATGTTGCGCTGTCTCGTTCAGCAGCTGCTCAGAAAAAGTTTGCTGATCGCCGTAGGGTTGCGGCCCCTTCTTATGTTCCGGGTGATAGGGTATGGTTGTCCTCCAGGAAACTCCGTCTCAAGGTCCCCTCGATGAAATTTGCCCCCAGGTTTCTTGGTCCCTACAGGGTCTTACGTAGGGTTAACCCCATTTCCTACTCCCTTGACCTGCCTCCTTCCATGCGTATCCCAAACACGTTTCACGTCTCGCTTTTAAAGCCCATGCTGTGTAACCGGTTCTCTCGTCCCCTCGGGCGGCCCGTTTCCCCTCGCGCTGTCTCTGGCGACGTGTACGAGGTGGCTGCCCTTCTCGACTCTCGTGTTTCTAGGGGTCGGCTGCAATATTTGGTGGATTGGAAGGGGTACGGCCCTGAGGAGCGGTCTTGGGTTTCGAGCTCTGATGTGCACGCTCCCTCTTTGGTCCTCTCCTTTCATGCCCTGTTTCCTTTGAAGCCTTCTGCTTCCCGCCTTCCGGGCGGTCTTCGAGGGGGGGGTAATGTCGGGATCCTGCGGGCGGCTGCGAGGGGAGGCTGCACTCCGCTTGCAGTACTCACCCTCCAGCCGTCCGCGGTCCCCTCCTCCTCGTGGGCTCGGCGACCGGCATCCTTCCAGTCTCGGATGCCGCCCGCCGTTTCCTCCACGTCCCCCAGCGGCAGCATACATGACGCTGCATGCTGGGAGACCGCTCAAGTTATTACACGCCGGGGTCAGTCACCTGACCCGGCGTTAAAGGCACAGTGTCTCAATCACAGTGGGAGGTTTAGATATCTCCCACGTGTGATTGTTAATTCTGATTGGAAATTATCCAATCAGAATTAACCTTTTGGTTTAAATACTTACCTTTCCTGTTCCTCCCTGCCCTGTTGTGGTCTTTGCTTTCTAGTATTGCTACTTACCTTGTACTTCTGGTTACGTACTCTCTGGCTTGTTTATCCGACTCTGTGACTTTCTCCTACCCTTTGACCTCGGCTCGTTTTAACGTTATTCTGTCTTCTGGTTCCCCTTACCCGGCTTGTCTCCTGACTATTCTGTGTGTGCTTAGCCCGGCTACTCTAAGGTCCGGTACGGCACCTTTTCTGTGTGTGTGTGTGTGCCGGCGTGTTGGGTTCCCCGAATCGTGACAGCTACCCAGCAAGATATACACTCTTCTATAATAAATTTTAACACATTTACAGTTTCCCAACTAATCTATTCTACAGTACCTCGAGGGACTACCTAAAACTATTTACATCCGTTTTGGTTAGCCGTCGCTGCCCAAGCACCACATATAGCGAACTAGAGGGCGGAATTTACAACAATACCCTTTTAGTCTAGTCTATCTACTCTATCAATAGTCTAGTAGGTTCCAAATTTACACGCCTTCCCACTTAGCCAAGATAGGTTGAGAACTAGCAAACGATAATGTACACCAGAGTCTGCTTAGTCTCCCGGTCCCTCTGACCTAGCGAACGAAATGTACACCCTAGATACGCTAGTCTAGACAAGATACCGGTGTCCGGCTTGGGCTATATACATTCAACCAAGACCCAGTCTGACTCCATACCAAGATTATACGGGCTGACTACAGGGCGTCTAATTATGAGCGGTGCGCCTTCGCTCCTTCCCTCCACTGGAGGGGGCCAATTCCATACACAATTCCAATTCAAACCCCTTATGGGCCTACCGCACAATCGGTATCCAATACCCCTAGTGGGTCCACCGTCTAAAACAGTAGTCGTCTTACCTCCTCGTTCCTGAACCTGAGTTCACACTCATCGACGGGGACACCCCAGCACTTACTACGTAGAGGCCGATGATCTCCTGGACAACAGACCAGTGGCGCCGAGACGAAGGGAGGTCCACGCAGAAGTTCAGGGGTGCAGCCGTAGAGAACGTGGGCAAAGATAGACCGTCTCACGCCTCTGCTTCCTAGCCACCGTTAACGACGAGCTTCCCGGCCAATGCACCAAAGATGTTACCGGGAAACTGACGGAGGCCAAGCACAGAGAGATGGACACAGGTTTCTTCAGGAAGGAAGAGATCTTTATTCGATTCACCGACCGGGACTCAGAGGGACTTATGTCACCAAAAACAGCAAAGATCTGAGCACTGAATACATAGAGTACATTCCTTATATAGCACTGTAGCTCCTCCCATAATTAGCTACGCCCACACATACCCTTAACCTAATCAATGAATAGAGTCTAAACTCATCCATCCGGTCTAACCACGTGGCTCATCTGAAACAAAGGAGAGGGACGCGTAATTCCAGTTCCTGCATTCCTGCACATGCTCAGTACAGTGATGACAGTATCTTAGCTACGTGTAACTAACTAACTGATACTACAAACACATGTACCTACATATGCCTTGTGGCAATCTTGGCCTGCTAAACTTTTATTTTACTGGAATTCCATCACAATATATATATATATATATATACATTACATGAAATTCAGTTTTGTCAAACCTTAAGCTCTTGACTGTCATAAACAAGGATAAAACCCAGTAATCAAAAAAGACTTACTGTGAAGTCAACTTACCCAGAGAAGACCAAACCTCCAGGGATGGGAGCGATAATACTCGCCTCTGTGTCATTAATAAAATCATGACTTTACGTCATGTTAATAGTAAAATCTGTGAATTTTATTAAGACACGGAGGCTCCTATTATGCTAGTTTAAAGCTGTAAAATTATGTCTCATGTGAAGTGTTGAATAGGTCTAAAGTAGAAATCATGGAATGTAGACTCCGAAGACAAGCCGCTCTCATAATATCCTCCAAGCGACAACCAATCGAGGAAGCCTTAGAAGCCATTGCCCCATGAACCGAATGAGGCACGAACACATAGGTATCAATACCTGCTACAGACATAACGTATTTAACCCACCAGGTTAGGTTAAACACCGGAAGACGCAGCTTTTGGAAGGAGATGAAGAGTTCCTGTTTCAAAGTATTCCGTAACGTAGTGGTACAAAGTTCATACTCCCTTAAGCATGCAACAGGGCAAAGGAGAGATCTATCAGGGAAAGCTAGATATAAAATGATTTAAGAGGAGGTTTTTGTCCTGCGAGAAATTCAAAGAGTATACCTTCTGGAGTAAAGGAACGTCACACATCATGCACTTGTACGTCAGAAACCCTCTTGTAAGAAAATTATTCAAGACAATAGAGACATCCCACAAGACAGAGTATTGTGGTAAGGGTGGATGAGCAAAACAAATTCCTCAGAGAAGTCGACATGTGACAGGATGCACCGACTATGCCATCTGCTCCAAGCAGATTTATAAGCCTGTCTCGTCTCGGGTGCCCATGCACCCTTAATAAGTCGGAGAGTTGATGGCAAAACTCTCTCGACCGACCAAGGTGCCCTGAAATCAACCACACCGTGAGATGCAAGAGGCCTTGGAGGACAAGGGGATGAGGCAGACCGTCTGGATCCTAAAGAAGGCTCTCTAGAGAGATGAAAGGAGATGTGATAGGTCAATAGCCATCTCCTGAAGATAAGGGAACTATGGTTGGGATGGCGATAGAGGAGCCACGATCACCAGGTGCCGGATTGGTGACGTAGATGGAAAAGGCAACAGAAAATCAGTGCAAAGATCGGAAAAGCGTAATACCTTAAGGAAGACCAATCTTGGGAGAAAACATTCGTAGCCAGTGCTGTCGGATCTGATCTCCAACTGAAAAACGGGAAGTTGAGCATTCAAACGAGAAGCGAAAAGGTCTATTTCCAATAGACCCCATAGGTTCCAGATGTCTTGGAAGACTGTGGAATCCAAGTGCCAGTCACTGGAATATCTGAGTTGGAGTGAATACCAGTCTGCCGTAGTGTTGGAGAGACCTTGAATATATTCTGCCATGACTGAAATGCCATGCATCAGGCAAAATTGCCAGAAATCGCAAGCCACGTAGGTCATAATTTTATATTTTGTGCCTCCAGGTGATTGATGTAGCGGACAGCTGACATGTTGTCCATCTTCAGAAGCATAGCACATTGGGCTTGAGTTAGGGAGAAACTGCGGACCGCAAAGGAACCGGTCAGAAGTTCCAAACAATTGATGTGGAGTGTAGATTCCAGGTGTAACCATCTGCCCTTGGTGGAAGTTTTTCCACATTGAGCACTCCAACCGTGCAAACTTGCGTCGGATTTGATTATCAAATCTGGAGATGTACAGAATATGGTGCATTCATTCCAAGCTTCCATGTGAAGAAGCCACCATTTGAGTTTGTCCTTCGCTTCAGTGGCAGCATTCCAGACCAGGCACTTTACTCATAAGAAGAAATTAGTAGGCAGTCTATGCAGGACTGCCTGCTATGTGAAATTTCATTTTTCATTGTAATCTTCAAGGCTTGTTTTCCCCAGCAAAAACACTGGGTTTATGGGGCAGGTCATGTAAATGGCAATTTGTAATTAATATATTTTGTGATTTGGATCGACTTTATGCTAGTTAGCATGATTGTTAGCTTTTGGAAGAGAATATTAAAATACAGATTCTTAATAATAGCATAGATTGTAATTGGTACTTAACAGATACACACACGGAACTCTGGTATTGAAAAACATCTGAGCTCTGGCACTGATGTAGTCAGTCTACCTGCTTGCTAGTTATACATGAGTATAATTTGTATAGCAACTTGACTGCATATTGTATAGTGTGCACCAGTAATAGCAGTAAATAATCTTTCTAATGTGTAGCACAGTTAGACAACCATGCAGAACAATTGCTTGACCAAATGACATCCACGGGACAACACTTGTTAAAGGGAAACAATGTAATAAAAATCACCCTCTATTTTAACATTCTTTAAATCATGTAAATAACTCTTTGACATGCATTGCACCCAGACATTCTTAAAAAAACAGAACATGGCTAACGTTAAGGGAACACTCCAAACACCATGACTATTACAGCTAGGTGTAGTGGTTAAAGTGCCAGGTGTATTCTGGCTCCACCCTAGAGTTTCCTGTTTGGAACAGCTTTACAGCTTACCCACTGTCCCACGGCGATTGAGTCCCACTGAGCACCTGCAATTACAGTGCCTACTTCATTGATCTAAGTATGGATTTAGAGGTCTGCCCTCACTGGCTGAGAGCATCACCAGTGCACCACAATTTAGCGGTGGACAATGGTATTTCCACCGTCCCTCTTCTATATTTAGTTAGAGCTCCGCTCCCCACCTATGGGTGGTGGTGGGGAAGACATAAGGTTCTCCAACTATTAAACTCATAGATCAGATCCCCCCCATATATTTTACAGGTCCCATCCACATGTTTATTAGATATGCCCCCAACTGCCGCATGGCAGGAGGGGGAATATGGGAGGTAAGAAACGTCTCTTATAGTTAAATATTTGGTCATCTTGACCCTCATAGGCTTACTACTTACTTGACCCCATAGGGTTATTTTTTTTATTTTTACACTTGGCAAGTGCTGGCCAGCTTCTACAAGATTAACCTTTGTACCCTGGAGGGTTATTTAACTTGCTAGCACAGCCAGCAACAAATAGTGCCTAAATTAATTGTTTGCATCTATGGATGCTTTCAGTCATGATTTTTTATTTTTAATGAATATTTCATATCATAAACGTTGTATAGTGTTTGGATGCGAAAAGCACTGATTTCAATCCAGACACCAAAATGCATCCAACTGACTAATGCAATTTCGGTTGCACTGGTTAAATTTCAGAATATGCTTTGGTAAACATGAGAGTAGCCATTGCATAATTCAGACATTTTCACCTGATTATGTCCAGTGTTTAGTTAAATACATTGAGGGTCTCCCATTCATACAGTGTTATTACTGTGGCCCTTAAGGACCATTGTTTTTATGATGGAATTCTGATTAATGAGTGTTAATGTATTGTAAATAAAATACTACAAATGTCAATGGCTACCTTTTGAAGAGATTAAATAAATGTTGGCCTGAAATATTTATTGGACTCCAATAGGTAACATATTTGGAGTACACTATGAAGTACGATTAATAATCCATAATTTAAAAAAAAACATTTGGTACCTATGTCCTACACCATATAACGATGCAGACAAAAAGCACATATGATAGTAGGCTACTATGTGACTTCAATAAAACTTTAGCCGCACATAAATTGCTGTGGTTGATGACACTTAACAACCGTGCCAAAATATGAGCCAAACATTTGTGTGTGTGGACCACAGAGTCTGGAAATATCACAGGCTGTGGGCTTTTTGGATTTTCTTGATAAAGCATGGCTCTCAATTTGTTTTGGATAATAAAAACACATGTAGTTCATATGGCTTCTGTGAGTTCTAGTATGCATCAACCTACTTTAAACAATAAACATTTTTTAAATTCACATTCTCAGTCAAATGCTTTTTGCTCACAGGAAGACCACCCTCCCATTATGGTAGATCGCTCTAATAGCATATCAAATACTGAATAAATAAACATTTAGGGCATTCTATCATTCCCTCTGAAACAAATTTTGCAAAACTGTGTAAAATAAAACATTGATATAACCTAGTGGGTCGCTGTTTTTTCCCCATTCTGAAAGAAGGTCACTCACGCTATATACTGGATATATATATGTATTTGTTCTTCTCAGGGTAGGGAAGGAGTAGGTGGGCAATTGCGCAGTGCCCACTAACCTTTTCCTGAAGTGACCGTCCTGTGTGCAATAAAAACAGTGCCCTATTAGCTTCTCCCAACTGTGTCTGCGAAGGTAACAGGTACTGCAAGACTCAGTCAGGCAGGGCAAAACTACATTTAAAGGCATTTGAAAAAAGGGTGCACAGCAGGAGTCATTTCATTAAATGTTTTTATTTCTTTATTGTAATTATTTATTTATTCTTCTAGGAGGACAAACAAAGGCATAGCCACCAGCAACACCACAATCACATTATAGAATACTTTTCTTTTCCTACAGAAAGTTAAACAAAAAAAGACCCGACATACTCCGTGTGTTCACATGTGCAGTCAACTGCAGCTATGAGTGTTTCACTGCGAGTAGGAGAAATAAGAAGTAGTGCTTTACTCATAAATATTGAATTTTTTTTTAATTCTTTATTTTGTGCGAGTGATCGCGTAATGGGAACATGACACATGAAACACGTCAAAACATTT